GTACAGTAAAAGTCATAGCTTTCAAATCTAAGGAATTCCCCAAAGGTGGAGAGGAATGAAGTAAAAGAAGTACTCAAAGTACAATATCAATCAATTATAAAACAAGTAATTTATTCCTACACAGAAAGATCTGCTAATCACAGAATAATAGAAGAATCACAGTGCACATTAATAAAATTACCCAGATTGACAGCATTCAGTAACTTAACCTATAACCTATAACTTAACCTATAACCTATAACCTTGGGTAACAATAGGCTAGGAGGATGATATTTAAACTTCTTAGGACATAAGACAGTTTGTAGGACTGCTAATTAGCCATGTTACATTTTGTCTGGGTTAGGCACTGTTCAGCCACATAGCCAAGCTTTGTCTTCTTTCCTTCTGCCAACCACTCTGATACAGGATATTAGCAAAGATATAACAAACTGTTGTTTACCATCAAGGACAGTGAAGCTAACATATTTGTCGTCTTACTGCCATAGCCACTACCACTTCAGGAACATCATAGCCACCACCTTGAAGGCCTCCCAGGACTCTTTAGAATTTACAACATTATTACCAGTCCTGGACACATCCATGGCATTTGCCTAAAATCAGGAACAAAGGCAAAAGTAACCGGTGGCCCTTGGCATAAGCCCATCTAATTGAATCCATGTTCCACACGAGGAGTGGCAAGCAGGTCACCATGACCATCCCCAACCCCCCTCCCCCCCCAATGGAGACACGGGATACCACTAGGAGAGCTGTGGCCAAAAAAGCACTGGCTGGAAGCTGTCTCTTCTTTGAACTGATCCAGCATCAAGCCCCATTGTTGCTATCATAATAATACCTAATGCTGCGTGAGAATCTAGACCCCACTTTGAGGTGCTCAGGGTTAGTAGGGTTGACCAGAGAGGTAGAAGTGAAACTGATACATGAAGAGAGTATTCAAGGACAAGAAAAGTGGCCTGCATGTAGCCCCAAATCCTTTCGGGATCAGACCACACAAGAGTGGCTAAATCAGATCCGTCAGACCTCAACAGAGAAGCTTGGGTCAAGCCAAAGAAGTTTGGGCTGCATTGGTACCCATGGAATCATTAGCATGCATGTGACATCAGAGGACCTGAAGAAAGGCCCCCAGCATGTTGGGTGAACTCCTTACCGAGGATGTATAGGAGGACATGAATTAGAGTCAAACAGGATGAGATGGGTAGGTATGGGTTGTGATCTGCTTTGATGGATAAGATGTCCACATCGATGAGATCACAGATCCACTGTAGCATTTTTATGTTTACCTACCTCACAGGGTTGTTGTGAGGCTCAAAGGAATTAGAGCTTGGGTTAGAGTTAGGGTTAATACATATTGTAAGGGACTTCAAAAACAAATAATTATGTAAATTTCATCTATAATAATTATTATTATTTGTATCAGCAGTGAAGCAACTGAGTTGAGGTGAAGATGGGGGCGGGGATAGAGGAGAAGGCATACACAACTCCCCACACACATAGAGGAGAGCCCTGGCGTGATTAATCCAAAAAATGCAATCTAATTTAGTTTTGGAATGCAATCAGTGATTTTGAGAGAAGGGTGTAACTTTGTCTTCCAAATTACTTTTGGCACAGGATGACATGGAAAGAGTCATGCATTCTGTAGGCACATAGCAGCTGGCCCCCAAACTGTGTTGTTTGGCAGAAAGGATGAAAGATTTGCCACAGACAGTTCACAAAACAGAATCAAGAACTGACATACAATTGGTGTAACTTGTCAGGGAATGAAATCTCAAACAACATGGTAACTCAAATTTACATAGTGCTTTAAGGTTTTAAAAACCTACTCCTCCTAACCCTGAAGGATAAGTAATGCAAGCCGATGATATCCCCCTTTTGCAGATGAAGAAACTGAGAGGCTAAATTAGCACTTTATGATTGTTGTTATTGTTTTTCAGTCATGTCCCACTTTTCATGGCTCCATTTGGGGTTTTCTTAGCAAAGAAAATGGAGTAGTTTGCCATTGCCTTCTGAAGCTCATTTTACAGATGAGGCAAATAGGGTGAAGGGACTTGCCCAGGGTCACACAGCTAGTAAATGTCTGAGGCTGCATTTGAACTTGGGTCTTCCTGACTCCAGACCCAGCACTCTATCCACTGCACTATCTAGCGGCTTGGATGATCACAAAGTGTCTGAAGCAGGATTCAAATTCAGCTCTGCTGATGTCAAGACCAGCATGTTAGCCCCTATATCAGGGGTGGGCCACATGTGGCCCTCTAGATCCTCAAGTGCAGCCTTTTGACTGAATCCAAACTTCACAGAACAAATCCCCTTAATAGAAGGATTTGCTCTAAGTTGTGGTATATGAATATAATAGAATACTGTTGTGCTATAAGAAATGATGAGCAAGTGGACTTCAGAAAAGCCTGGAAAGGCTTGTATGGACTGGTGCTGAATGAAATGAGCAGAACCAGGAGAACATAGTACACAGTAACAGCCAGGTTGTACAATGACTAACTTTGATAGACTTAGCTTTTCTCAGCAATGCAAGCATCTAAGACATCTCCAAAAGTCTCATGATGGAAAATACTATCCACATCCAGAGAAACAACTATGGAGTTTGAATGTAGATTGAAGCATACTATTTACTTTTTCTTTTTTTTTTTTTGCTTCTGTTTTGTTTTGTTTCTTCTTTCTTGTGGTTCCTCCTATTGGTTCTAATTCTTCTTTACAACATGACTAATGTGAAAATAAAAATAAATAAATGAAAAGATTTGTTCTGTAAAACTTGGACTTAGTGAAAAGGCCGAACCCAAGTACCTAGAAGGCCATATGTGGCCTCAAGGCTGCAGGTTCCTCATCACTGCTCTAGATCATATTGCCTGCCAAAGACTAAAACATAAAAAAATGCTGTGGCATGATACAAATAGCACTGGTTTGAAAGTAAAGAGACCCAGACTCATAATTCTGTCACAGTTGACGTAGGCAAGTCCCTGGGCCTCAGTTTCTTCAAATATAAAATATGGGAATTTGACTAGATATGCTCTAAGGTTCTAAGGTTCTAGATAAGCTCTGATATTCTGTGCTTTCTGGCCTAAGACTTCTTTTAGTTCTAATAATCTGTGATTCTGTGACTCTGAGAAGCCAAGGAAGTATAGTCAACCAGTAGTGTTTGAGCAGCCTCTAGACTTGCTGAACACTATGGGGGACACTGAAGTTTAATATAAGATATAGCTCCTGCTTTCAAAACCCACACATGCACATACCCTCATGTGCAAATTAGTTACAACAAATTAAATGCAAAAGTAACTTAGGAAAGAGAGCGCTGGGTGGTACAATGGATAGAGCACCAGCGCTGGGATCAGGAGGACCTGAGTTCAAATGTGGCTCAGACATTTACTAGCTGTGTGACCCTGGACAAGTCACTTAACCCTCATTGCCTGCCCCCCTCAAAAAATATAACTTGAGAGGTCTGAGAAGATGCAGAGTAAGGAAATGATCAGTGTAATGGAGTTAATCAGGGCTTTTGGGAAGAGGGAATTTTTAAACAGGAATATTTTTGGAAGTCATAAGATCAAAGGATTTAAAACTGAAAAGCCTCTTAGTAATCATCTAGTCTAATCCCTTCATTTTACAGTTGAGGTAACTAAGATTGAAAGAGTTTAAGTGACTTCTCCAAGGCTATTCAGGTAGTATGAGTAGTACAGCCAGGATTTTAATAATAATAATAGCTAGCATTTATATAGTACTTTAAGGTTTACAAAGTGCTTTAAATGTGCTATCTCATTTGATCCTCACAACAACCCTGTATGGTAGGTGTTCTTGTGATCCCCATTTTACAGACGTGGAGACTGAGGCTAAAGAGGGTTCAGTGATTTACCCAGGGTCACACAGTTAATAAGTGTCAAAGGAGGGACTTAGGTCTTCCTGGTTCCAAGTCCACCACTCTTTTAATTAATTAATTTTTTAGACAATTGGGTTTAAGTGACTCGCACAGGGTCACACAACTAGTACATGACAAGTGTTTGGTCTGAGGCCAGATTTGAACTCAGGTCCTCCTGACTTCAGGGCCAGTGCTCTATCCACTTCAACACCTAGCTGCCCCTAAGTCCATCACTCTTTGCCATATATCACCTAGTGAACACAACAAATGACAGATATTGGCAGGCTAGAAAAATCAGGGTGAATCAGATGAGATGAAATTTAATAGGGGTCACTATAAAATCTTATACTTGGGTTCAAGAAATCAACTTCAGAAGTACAAAATGGCAGAGGTATGGCTAGAAAGAGGTCCATCTTTTTTTAAAAAGATATTAATAAGTAGGCAAGTCTCCAGAAATGGGTAAGCTGAATGATCAAATGGCCTTGAGTCCATGCTATTTGACCATTGGTTGAAAGAATTGAGGAGGGTTAACCTGGAGAAGTGGAGGGTCATGACAGCTGCCTTCCAGTATTTTTGAGACTAAATAGAAGGAGGATTGGACTGTTCTCCTTGGCCCTGAAGGTAGAACCAGGATCAATGGGTCAAAGAATCAAAAAGTCAAATTTCAGCTTAATATAAGGAAAAACTTCCCAACATTCAGGGTTATCCCAAAGTGGAATGTGCTGCTTTGGGAGGCAGTGGGATCCCCCTGACTGGAGGTCTTTAAGTCAAGGTTGGTTGACCACTTGTTAGACATGTTATAGTGGGGATACTTTTTCAGATTTGGGTTGGATTGGATGATAGCTCAAGTCCTTTTTAACTCAGAAATTAGGTTTTTCTATGACTTCTCTGATTCCAAAGCCAGGGCTTTTCTAGCATGTGCATAATGAACATGGCCTTAGTAGAACAGAGGGAGAGAGGGTTTCAGGTAGAGGATATGGGTTGAGCAAAGGCACGTAGAATGGTCCAGTATAAAGGATGAACAGCACTTCAGGACTGAGGATTACCTTTGGGATGTAGAAGTCATGGTCATTCTGCCTGCCCTTGGCTCCCCTAAGGGATATGCCCAACTAGACCAGGTCTCTTCAGGATCTTCTCCCCCTTTCAGATCCCAATGTCCGTCCTGGACATCAATTCCACCCAGCACCCTGTCAAAGCCGGTCTGTCTGATGCCTTCATGATTCTCAGTCCAGCCCCTGACATGCCAGGTGAGTCTTCAGGGCCCAAAGGAGGGTATGGCCAGTGTGGACTTCGCCTCCCCCTTATCCCCCAGGGTGGGTAGATGGTCACTGGTTCAAGTGGTGAGGACTGCATGGGACTGGGGACCACCCTGCCATGTCTTTATTTCTTAGGCTCAGGGATCCCCAAGGTCACAATATCTTATGGTTAGATTGTTTTCTGTTTCCCAAGGGAGGTGATTAGATAATTTATCCACTTTATTCACCCTGCGATCTATGGATGGCTCTTTCTCAGGCAACCCAGTTCTCTTCTAACTTTCAGATGTCTGGATATATTCACTTATTTTATTTTGTTAGAACATAGTGTGTTAAGATAATATAAGATAGAGACTCCTCTTTCTGTAGGCGAGGGAATGTCTTAATGAGATACAGTGTGTGCAATCAATCTACCAACAAGTATTTACTGTGATGACCTCTGAGGATACAGTGAAAGATACTTTGACCTTGGAGAGTTTATATTCTAGTGGGGAAAGAATGGGAGAGATACAATGTATTCATGAAAAAGCAAATCGAATATTTGCACAAAATAAGTATGAAGTGATGGGGAGGCAATATAGCAATTTGCAGAATCAAAAAGGGCCTCTTGAAGAAAGTGGCATTTGAATTGGACCTTGAAGAGAACATGGAGTTTCTTTTTTGTTTGTTTTGTTTTGTTTTATTTTTGACTAAGCAATGGGGTTAAGTGACTTGCCCAGGGTCACACAGCTAGAACATGGGGTTTCTAGAGGCAGAGGTGAAGAGTGAGAGCCTCCTAGGCATGGGGCATAGCCTGTGCAAAGGCATGGAGGTGGGAGATAGCAAGTATGCTATTTTGGTTAAAGTGTAGAGTGTGTAGGGGCAAGTAATAACTAATCAGACTGGAAAGATGAAGTAGTAGGGAGGCAAGAGCGCTCCACTAGAAGGTAGGGAAATTGGTTCCAATTTTGCCACTGTCTTGTGACCTTGGGGCAGGTCAGTTCAATAAGTATTTATTAAGCACCTGTTGTTGTTCATTCATGTCCGACTCTTCATGACCCCATGGACCATAGCACATCAGGCCCTTCTATCCTTCACTATCACTCCAAGTCCAAGTTCATATTTGTAGTTTCCACAACACTATTTATCCATCTCATTCTCTACTGTCCCCTTTTCCTTTTGCCTTCAGTCTTTCCCAACATCAGGGTCTTTTCCAATGGTTTTCCATGGGGTCACAAAAAGTCATACATGACTTAACAACAACAAAATATAGTAATTACATATGTATGTATAGTAATGGGAGGCAGCACCAGCTGGGAGGGATCCCAGGACACCATTGCCTTTACCTAAAAATGAAGCCAGTGAACAAGAGAGCACCCAGCTTTGATACTTACTAGTTGTTGGATCATGGATGGGTAGGTAAGTCATTCAACCTCTCTGAGATTATTTCCACGTATATAAAATGGGGATGGTCACACCTGCTTTTCCTACCAGATAGGAGTGTTGTGAGGGAAATGCTTTGTAAATCTGAAAGTATTATAGAAATGTGAGCTATTAATAATAATTATTGCTATATTTATATTACAAAATGAGATCAATTTCTAAAAAGGATCATGGGGTAAGAGTGTACTGGTAACACTGTCCTAGGTCCTCCTGACAGCCTATGGAGCTGAGGGTACAGAATGACCCCTTCTGAGTGGTAATAAAGTCTGTGGGGGCAACTAGGAGGTGCAGTGGATAGAGCACTGGCACTGGATTCAGGAGGACCTGAGTTCAAATCTGGCCTCAGACACAAAACATGACTAGCTGTGTGACCCTGGGCAAGTCACTTAACCCCATTGCCTAACCAAAAAAATAAATAAATAAAAAAATAAAGTCTATGGCACTCTATCACTTCTACCACTCCTTTCTTCTTTCTTTCTCACTTCTTCCTCCATCCTATATTTCTATTTCCCTTGCTTATTTTCCTCTCCCAACACTCATGTCCAAGTCGGACCTGTGCCAGCCATGTCCATGAACAATACCCACCTTGCTCCACACTAAAGAAGTTGGTGAGCCCTAGTCTAGGACATTCCCAAGAGGCTGAGAAGACTCTGAGAATCACCTTTCTCTTTTAGAAACTCCCTGCTCAGAAAGCAACTTTTGGATCTTTTGTAGGTCACCCTTTCAGATCTCCTGCCCTTTCTTCCTCCCAACACCTGCCTCCTCTCAGTGGTTCCCTAACACCTCTAGGATCAAATATAAAGTCCTTTTTTTGGCTTTTAAAGACCTTCACTACTTGGCCCCTTCCCTCCTTTGCAGTCTTCTTACACCTTACTCCTCTCCACACTCTGATCCAGTGACACTGGCTTCCTTGCTGTTCCATCTTGTGTTTTCACTGGCTGTCCCTTATGCCTGGAATTTGCTTCCTTCTCAACTCCCCCTCCTGGCTTCTCCCACTTCTTTCAAGTTCCAGTTAAAATCCCACCTTCTACTTGAAATGTTTCCTGGTCCTTTGTAATGCTAGTGCCTTTTCTCCATTAATTAATTCCAATTTATCTTGTTTGTACATAGTTGTTTGCATGTTGTCTTCTCTACCTCCTTCCCCCCTCACACCACACACCATCCCCCTCACTTAGTCTGTGAGTTCTTTTAACTTACTTTGTGTTCCCAACACTTAGCACAGTGCCTGGCAAACAGAGGCACTTAATAATGCTTCTTGACTTGATGCATTGACTTGAGCACCACATGGTACAGACATTATCGTACAAATACATCAACTGTGAATTAAGCTTGTCCCGTGACAAATACCACTTGTTCCTATTGCCGGCTGAGATATGGAAAATGTTGGGGAGGGCAGAAGCCAGGAAGAGGCGGCTGATTTGCATAGTCTTTGGTGTGCCCATGGATTTCCTTTAGGGAGAACACATGGATGGTATTAGGCCCCTGAACTATCTCTCCTAACAACTGAAGGGGCTTTGTAATCGTGGCTGATTCATTCCTCAGCTGGCTGTGGAGGAGCGAAGCTGAGTGGGAGGGCAGCCTGGGTTGATTTGTTCAGGACTGCTGGCTTTAGGAAAACATATAAGGCCAGTGTCTGAAACTGAAAAAGAACATTTTTCTTTTTAGTTTGCAAGTAGGCTGGTTATCAGGCAAAGTCCCTTCAGCTAAATGCACTGGACTCTGGAAACAGAGCTGGCCTTAGAAAATATTGGGGTGAAGGTTTAATCTCAGCACCTCAAAGCACATGTTTTGTGCTCTATTTTCCCTCCTTTTGGATTTCCCAGTCTCTTTAAGGGCATGTTCCTCCTTCTCCCTTATTAAACCTTGCTTACAGACAGGAATTCACCATTTACACTTTAGTCTGAATAAATTCTTCCATTAATGTCCTCCTTGCATGGAGGTAGCCCTGGGTTCTCAAAGGCTAAACCAGAGTATTATAAATTCTGTCATTTTCTGCCAAGCTGGAAATGCTTTGTGTATGGCCTTTGCAACAGACTACAGTCTGCCATCTTTTTGAAAACTATCTCTTCCATGAAGCTTTCCTTGATTCTCCCTTCCAAAAAGTCATTGTTGTCCTCCTCTCTTGGACCCAGCATCATAGCACTTTGTTTTTGCAACTATACATAATTAGCCTTCTCTTGTGTCTTATCCTCCTTTTTAACTAAATGTTTTCTGAGGAGAGATATCATGTTAAGTCTGTGAAGCAAAGTGGGACACATAATTGACCAGAACCAAGTCTGAGTATGATCTATGGGATGGATAAACCAATATAATCTCTGCTTCATCTAAACTTTTCATCTCTCCCCCACCCCCAAGGCAACTCTCTGCACATAGTAGATCAGGGGGTCCCACCTTTTTCAGTCCTCTCCCTCCTCCCTTTGCTTTTCATACAGCCTTCCCTTATCTACATTCAATATGAAAGGAAATAAATTCTAGAGTTTACCATAAGGAAGAAAATAGATTAATTTCAGTAGAATAGTATAATTAGTTACCAAATACTCCCTATACCCTTTGGCAAACTCCTTAGCCTCTGGGGGTATACATACCCTAAAGTGGGAACCCCTTCAGTAGATGCTTTTAATAATAATTAACCTATCAATTAAGCAACAAGCATTTATTAAGCACCTGCTATATACCTTCACTCTGGTCAGCATTCTTACCTCCTCCCCACCAAAGACTTCGACTCCATCCTGGGAACCACCTTGGGTCTGATGGGTGAATTTTCACCTTCTCTTGCCTGGAATCAAGGCCAGATCAGGCTGCCTCTCCAATCCCGACCCATACAGCTCCCCTTCACATGGTGTCTGTCTTGCGTGATTGTATTTGCATGGTATCTCCAGCCCTTGGCACAGTGCCTGGCACATAAGCACTTACATGTCTGTTTGCTTGCTTGCTTTTTTCCTTCTTTTCCACCTCCCTCTGTCTCTCTCTCCTCTCTCTTTCTTTCCATCCACCCATCTTTCTTTCTATCTACCTCTCTACCTATCTATCTAATTATCTGTCTGTCTGTCTAGGGACAAAAAGAATACAATGAAACAGCCCCTATCCTTAAGAATCTTATCTTCCACTGAGGGAAACTAATTATACATATATTAGTATAAACAAAATCAATTCAAGGTAATGGGAGGAGGCAACAAGAGGTGGGGTAGAAGGTCAGGGAAAACTTCACATAAGAGAAAACGTTTGAGCTCAGCTCTGAAGAAAACTAGGGATTTTAAGAGTCAAAGATGAGAAGAGAATGCATTCTAGACATGGAGAACATGTGCATGCAGACAAAAGGTGGAAGGTCTTGAATGAATGAATGAATGAATGAATAAAGAGTTGTCAGTGGAGATCCCTGCCTAGCTGGACCTGGCTAGGAAAGGTGCCATTACCAGGTAAGTGGTGTAGTGGATAGAGCTCTGGGCCTAGAATCAGGAAGACCTGAGTTCAAATCCAGACACAGATACTTACTAGCAAGTCACTTAACCTCTGTTTGCCTCAGTTTCTTCAACTGTAAAATGAGGTTGATAATAGCACCTACCTGACAGGGT